CTCCACACACCAGAAAGTCCAGCTCTTGCTGACTTGTCGCTTGGCCCTAGGCTGAGAGCCCACCCACCCCAGGCCCCCCACCAAGACAGCCAGGCTCCTGCTGTAGGTGAAGTGTCGGGATGAGGACGTGTCTCCATCCTGCCCTGGGCACCGGCCGAGCCACTGTCTTTAAGCCCTCATCAATGATTGCAATAGTCCTGCAGCTGTGTTCTCACTTGTTTATTCTGACTTGCTTTCTCTGCTCCGCTCTGTCTCTGAAGCTTGCAGTGGGGGTGGGGGGGAAGCAGGGAGGTTGGCAGAGAGATAAGATTCATCAATATTTAATTTTTATGGAAATCATGTCCTAGAAATCCCCAAGGGGCTGAAAATTGTCCTGTGTTTTCAGAAGCCAGTGATGTCGCTGAAGCCAGTGATGTCGCTGAAGCGGTTACATTGTAAATAAAACCACATTACTGTCTGCAGCTCTCCCTTCGCTCTGCAAACACCAGAAACTTGACAGTTTAATCCACTCAAGGCAGCAGAAAGGTTCACATTGTCGCTGGTGGGGGCAGCCCATCCCCAGCCCTGGGATACAGGATGTGAGCCATCAAAGTCTGTGGCGCTATTACAGTGGGGAGCCACATGGAGCCAGCCCCCTGAGCAGAGTTATCACAGTGGAGAAATATTTTCCCCTCAACAGGATTCCCATGGGAGCTGAGCCCCTCGGTTCCTGATGTTAGGAAGGGGGTTACTTAGATGACTTGATGACTCTATGACCCAGATACCTGATACCCAAGTCATTTTATTGACTGCTGGGGGAGTTGGGATCTGGAAAAAATGTTTACTCAATCATTGATTTGCTCATTGGTTCTTCCATCAAATATTCCTTAAGCATCTACCATATTCTAGATACTGTTTTGGGTACTAGGAATGCATCAAAGCACCCCAGATCCCTGCTTGTAAATTCTCATGGAAAGAGACAGACAATAAACCAGGTAAATAATTAAAATAGATAGCATGCTGAATAGTGGTAAGTGCAGTGGAGTAAAATGAAGTGGGAACCTTAGTTATTTATCCACAATACATAAAAATATTCATCCACTTGTACAAGAACTTCATACCAGCTTTGCTTATTTGTTATACAAAAAAAGCAGAAGTAGCCCAGGTGTACATCAAGACAGTAAATCAGCCAATTCATTCATGAACTACTATGCAGTCTTAAAAAAGAACAGATTATTTACAAATGAAACAACAAATATTTAAAAATATTTCCTTGAATGAAAGAGATCAGGGACAAAAATATATGATGATAAAGTAATTCTCTTTATAGGACATTCTAGAATAGATAAACTAATCCGTGGTGAGAGAAGATAGAAAATAATTTGCTTTGGGGGCAAGAGGGAAGACTGGGGAAGGACTAAAATCTGATGTGAGAGAAATGTTGTATGTTCTTTTATGTATATTCATCCAATCCAACTGAGTATAGTACTAGGGTCCGAATATTTCCTGACAATGAGTATTAGCTCAGTCAAACAAAACGAGAAAGGAAATAGAGTGTTGGCGAAGGTGAGTGATATTGCAACCTGAAATGGGCAGGTCTCAGGGAGAAGACCACTTGAAGAAAGTGAATGAGGAAGCCATGAGGGTGCCCAAGGGAAGAACATTCCAAGCAGGGGAAACATGTGCAAAGTCCTGAGGTGGGAGTTTGACTACAGTGGCCAAAGACCAGTAAGAAAGCTAATGTATTAGTTTACTCAGGCTGTATATATATATGTATGTATATATATAATGTGTGTACATTATATACATATTATACACACACACACACACACACACACACATATATAAAACCTCTGTATAACAAGTTCCACAGACCAGGGTTCTTCAACATCAAAGGTTAATTTTCTCACAGATCTGGAAAGCAAGATGTCAGCAGGGCTGGTTCTTCTGAGGCCTCTCTGTGGCTTTGCAGAGACCATACTGGTCTTTGCTTGCTCTGTGTGCTCCTGTGTCCTGATATCGTCTCATAAGGACACCAGTCATTTAGATTAGAGCCCACCCAAGTGGCCTCATTTTAGCTTAATTAGTTCTTTAAAGGCCCTGTTTCTACATTCAGATACATTCTGAGGTGCGAGGGTTAGGGGACACGGTTCGGTCCCTCACAGTGGTGTGGATGCTGCCTGCTTGTGTCCACTGCCTGCCTTGATAGGGATTGGATCCAGGCTGAGGGCCTTTTGGTGGAGGATGGATGGCCTTGGTAGAGGCCAGAGGTTGCAATTCTTGTGACGTCTTTTCACTAACTCACGTCAACTAGAGAGCTTGCTTCCAGAAAGCTGGCAGCATCCTGATTGAGAGTCAGGATAGATTTCACTTGCTGTTGAGAAACAACCTGGGGGTCCTGGCTGTTTGGATGCTGATGAGCTGGTCAGCCCATCAATCCACTCACTACCAAGTCCAGTGGCCTGGGCTCTGCACTAGGCGGTGATGGGTGGTGGCCTGTGCGGGATGTCACCACAGCTCTGGCAAGCAGCCGTGGGTTTGGTGCTTCCGAGGACAGGGCCCATCGTGGGCACTGGGTCTTCAGAGCAGCTCTTGATGTGACTGATCAAGACGGAGGCATCATAAACACTAACTAGGGGGAGGGGTTTCAGCCCTTTGCTTGATCCTGAGTTTCTGGAGCCTGTGAGAAGAGTCATGTTGAGGAAATTTAGGAAATAAGGCCTCAGGTACTCTGCATGTGAACCTCTGTTGCAATTGAATTTCTTAAGCGATGAGGAAAGAGAGGTGCTCCTGCTGTGTTCAGGCACCAGGCCTAGCCTTCTCCTGCCTTCTCTTTCCCCCTTTGTTCTCCTGATGCTCCATGAGGTGGGCTTACCCCCCATGTCACAGTGAGAGAATCGAGGCTCAGAGCAGGCAGTTACTTGGCAAGTTCTCACCATGTCAAGGAACTGCGCTGGGAGTTGAGTCCAGGTCTGCCTGATAATCAAGTTGGTGCTTTCTCTCCTGGGGTCCCTGGACACGGAACCCAGGGTCACCCAGAGCAGCTGCCTCCCCGACGTCTGTGGAGAGAGTCACATCTCAGGCCTCTCCCAGGAAAGGCAGAGGGGCCTCACCGCCCTAAGAGGGAGGCCAGGGGAGGCCCACAAGAGAGCTCAGTGAGATGCTCTGACTCACAGAGCATGTCCATGTTACAGAGGGAGAAACGAAGGCTCCAGGAGGGAAGGTGACTTGCTTATGGTTCCATAGGCTACAAAATTTTCAGTTCAAAAGGGAGGTCTGAGCTGTTGAGGCAGAGCATGCAGTGGGACGGTGTGTGGAGGGGTGTGCGTGTGCACGTATTGGTGTGTGTGTGTTGCGTATGTCTGGGTATATGTAGGGGCATGTGGGCTGCATGGAGGCGTGTGTGTAGGGGTGTGTATAGGGGTGTGCAGCAGGGCATCATGAAAGTGTCTCATTCTCTGCCCTGTGATGGCTCAGCTCTGAGAGGGAAGCAGGCATGGATCCTGGTGAAATTCCTGGCAGAGGCGAAGAGGTCTCTGAGGCCTTGAATTCGGACACAGGAGGGCAGGGGCTTCAAGGGCTGCTTTGTGTGTGGGGTGGGGGAGGGAGTGTGCAGGGGGGAGGGGGAGGAGTCCAGCCCCTCGGCACCCTGCAGCTGCCCCTCCTCCCCCATGCCAGGTCTGCACCCCTCCAGGGCTGGGCCACTGGGCCACCATTTACTCTTGTCTAAGTGCTCAGAACATTGGCTTGGCCAAACCACGCTCAAAAACATCTATTGACAGTCTTATTTATTTACTCATTTATGAGGTTTTGCTGTGGCAGAAGATGAAGAGGTTTGGGCAGCCTTTCCCTTCCCTGCGCTGTGAGAAGTGGTCCCTGCCCACCACCTCCCTCCCTCCACACTCCCCACAGGAGACTCCTCCTTCTCTCTTTAAGCACCTTGCATCTCCTGTTAGCAAGAGGCAGGGGGTGGGTGAGGTGGGGCTAAATGTCCTGTCTAGTGCCCAGTACATAGTAGGCGCACAAAAAGCCCCGCATGGGAGAGGTAGGTGAGGGCTCTTTGAGCATGCTGGGCTGCTGTCTGGCTTCCATGGGTAAGAAGCTGGGAAGGCCCACTCTTCTGGTAAAGTGTCTGCTGTGTGCCGAGTCCAGGGCTGGGCCATTTGGCCCTGCCATATCCAGTCCTCAGACCAAAAGCACAAGGAGGATTTTATTACCTTTGTTCAGCAGTCAACTCACAGTGGCTCAGCGCCTTACCCAGGCTGCCCAGCCTGGGTACCCAGAGTCACACCCAGGCCCTCTGGAGACCTAGAACTCTCTACAGTATGGTGCAGCCTCCCCTGAGGAGAGTGAGAAGTCACATGAAAGACCATCAAGCTATGAGGTGTCTCCCTCTCCCCCCCTGGACAGGAGGCCCCATCAGCCTGAGAACTTTGGGGAGCCTGAGTCTGCTCTTGCTCACCTGTCCCCTATCAGAGAGGTCTGTCTCTAGCCTCTCATCCCAACCCGCAGAGACATTGGGCACCAGGGTTTGGCTGGATCTGTTTGTAGGGAGATGGAGGGCAGGGACCCCAGATCTCAGTTGGGACGCCTGGGTCTGCTGGGTAAAGATGTCACATGTTACCCCTGTTTGCCTTGTGTGGGCTGCTCTGTCCCACTCAGATCCACAAGCACATTTGCTGATGCAGACCCCTGGCCTGGACTGCCTGTCCCTCCTGGAGCACTGCCCCCTCCTGATGGCCATGCAGAAGCAAGACTCTGCTAACTGTCTTCTCCACGTGGCTCATTGTAGGCAGAGCACCGCTCACACTGGGCCGTGACTGACATTTCACTTGTCACCACCCTGGAAGCTATAGGCAGTGAGATGCCACATCCCCTGGTGTTCCTCAGTTAGGGCACAGAGCCCAGAGATGGGGTGTGACATCACCCTGTTGAATCTGAGTGTTGCATGTGGTACCTGGGCTGTGGGAGGCATGGCCCTTGCACCTGCCTGAGATGCTTCTCTTCTCCCTCCCTGGCAGGAGTTCCCCTTGGCCATCCTTAGGGGCTGGGAGTGCTACTGTGCTTACCCCACCCCCCAGTTCAATGTGCAGGATGCCGTGGATGGCTCGCTGTGCAGCCAGGAGCCAGAGGCACAGAGGCTGGCAGAGTACTGTGAGGTCTACCAGACGCCTGTGCAAGGTGAGTGGCTGGAGAGGGGCTGCGGCCCTCCTCCCTGCCCCCACTGCCAGGTGTGGGGTTCAGTTTGATTTGAGGAAGAGGGACAGAGTGGGGGCGGGGGAATGCAGAGGACTAGTGGTGGAAAGGTGGTAGACTCAGGAGGTATGAGAGCCCTAATCCAGCCCAGGACCTGGACTATGCCCAGGCCCCACCATCTTTGTATGAACATCTGCCCCACTGACCCTAGAAAGTGGCATCAGGAACAGCAGGAGCAGAGGGACATTGTCACCTTTATCTAGTGTCTACTGCCCAGTGGTGCCCCTTGCAGAGGCCCTGAGGAGAGAAGAGACAGCCTGGCATTAGCCCAGCCCGAGCCTTGTTGGCTGCACCCACCTGCCTGTGTGGCTTGGGTCAGCCCAAGTCCAGCCTCCAGTCACCTTCCCTGCACGATCTGGAGTTCTCTGTGCCACACTGAGGCCATGGAGACAGCGAGGGCTAGGGTCGGTTTGTCAATCCGGGCCCACTCTCAGCTGCTGGAGGAAGCCTCATTGGCAGCAGGGCTTCAGTCACAGAACTGAGCGGCAAGTGACAGGTGGAAAATGCCTTTCCCTTTTTGGGCCTCAGTTTCCCTACCTCTTAAGTGGGCATCTGGGATCAGCAGTTCCCATGGAGGGGATTCCAGTGGTGCATCAGGGAATCAGAGTGGGGATGAGTAACTCTGAGAAAAATTCAACTTTCAGATACCCGGTGCATAGACAGGAGGTTTCTGCCCACCAAATCCAAAGTGTTTGTGGCACTATCGAGCTTCCCAGGAGCCGGGAACACCTGGGCGCGCCACCTCATCGAGCACGCCACCGGCTTCTACACCGGGAGCTACTACTTTGATGGGACACTCTACAACAAAGGTGAGTGAGGCCAGAGCACCAGCCAGCTCCCTAGCGCTGGACCAGATGGCTGGAGCAGTATACCTGGATGTGCACACGAATGGCCCAGAGGGCTGGCCTGGGAATTGGCATTTTTAAATATTTATTTATTTATGCACACATGAACTGGGGTACAGGCCAGAGGTTTGGGGGGTGAGAGAATTCATCAGAGAGCGAGGGAGCAGAACAGGCAGATCGATGAAGTACACTGCTGAGGGGAGCAGCGGGCGGGTCAGGAGAGGTCTGCCGCGCCATGTGGATCTGCTCCCTGGCCAGGGATCGAACTCGTGCTGCAGTGGCTGCAGATAGCTTCATAATTTTGTGCTTTAACCCACTGCAACACCAGTGAGGGCCTGGGAATGGGCATTTCTAACAAGTGCCCAGTTGGCGCCAATGCCAGCATCCCCAACACACCATTAATGAAATAGTGCCTGTTATTTTTTTTTAAAAAGATATATTTATTTATGCATACAGGATCTGGGGTGAGGCCAGAGGCGAGGGGGGTGAGAGGATTCACCAGAGACAGAGTGTCGAGCAGAACAGGCAGGTCCTCTGAAATACACTGCTGAGGGAGCAGCTGGTGGTTCAGGAGAGGTCTGCTGCACCAAGGGGATTACGTCCCTGGTGGGGATGGTGATAGCATGTGTCTTTAACCCTTGCACCACCAGGGAGGCCCAATAGTGCCTGTTTTAAAGAGAGAGCCAAGGAGTTTAGAGTCCCTCTCCACAAACTTTTCTCAAATTTCCCAAGACCATAATAATTATGTGAGACTGAGTTAATCTTATAAAAATGTTATTTAAAAAAAAAATAAGTGTAAAAATCTTCAAGATTTTTATGATTCCTAATCTTCCCCTTGTAGAAATAAGAAGCTTCATTATGCCAAGTAAATGAACTTAAATGACTTAAGTCTGGGTGATGTTTAAGAATGAAGAAACTCAGACAAGTCAAGTGGGATCTAAATTTGGCAAAATGTGTTTCTCCCTTGTCAAGTATTAGAGCATTTTCTCTGGATTTCTTAACTAAAGTCTCTTAGAAGATGATGATACTATCAATAATGTCTTAGGGGAAAGGGGGACTCTCTGAGGTTGGCAGTGCATTCTGGAATCACCCACAGCACCGTTGGTCTGGCTGGACAGAAGCCAGGCTTGCCCATGGTCCCTGGTACCCCGGAGTCTCATGGGCACCTCTGGTGAAGTGGTCCTGTCTTCTTGGGCCTCGTACCCACTGGGATAGACTGCGTGGTTATTCACCTTGTCCCTCTTACAGGGCTTTTTCAGGCAACTATTATGTCGAGGTGGGTCCAAGAGGTGACACTGCCTCATTAAGGGCTTCTTGGAGCCTTATAGGACCTGTTAGACGTAGCTATGGCACCAGAGTAGTGACACATGTGTGCAGAGGCGGCCGCCATGCCGAAATGCCAAACCTGCCTTGGGCAAATGTGGTCCAGGTGACACAGGAAAGTAGAAAAGTGGCTGCTGATGAACCTGCCTGGTTCATAGTATGAAAGGTACTCTGGGCCTCAGGGTGGTCAAAGGCCACATCTCAAGTTGTCTCAGCCGTGACTTGACCCTTCCTCTCCTGCAATTCCCAGCTGTGTGACAAAATGAATCAAAGCAGACTTTTGGCCCACCGCAGAGATGAGTTTGAAGCATGTTGAGTTTCATTGGATAAGCCCAGACTTCCAGATTCAAAAGAGACTTGCATTTTCTAGGCATTAAAAAATCCCCCTGCAGCTTGCTGTAGATATAATTCATTCCCAGCCATCATGAATGGAGGTGGGTGGTGGGAATCATGTTTGCTTCCAAGAGCGCAGGATAAACTCATGAGCTTGAATGCAAGGTGTCCCAGAGCTGCATGGCACTGGCGACATGGGGCGTGGCCAGAGACTAGGTCCAGGTGATGTCTTCCAGGATGCTTCCTGACCTCCCACTCTGTTCTCGTGGTTGGACCCCTGCTTCTTTGTTCCCATACATCTCTAGGGTCTGTATTATATCAGGGCTATCTCACCACTAGACTGTAAGTTTAAAGATGGTGTCTGTCTCACCCCTTGCTTCCCACTTACAGTATTTAACTAGACTGGATATCAGGGTTGCTGTGTCTTGGGGGAGGTTAGGGGCTCATCCTGTGCTTGTAAATAAATAAGGTCATGACTAAAAAAAAGTCCAGGCCCTCCCTGGTGGCACAGCGGGTTAGCACAGCACTAAGAAGCTAAAGCCACTTCCGCATGAGTTCGATCCCCGCCTGCCCCGGAGGAGATCCACATGGTGCGGCAGACCTCTCCTGACCCGCCCGCTGCTCCCCTCAGCAGTGTACTTCGTCAATCTGCCTGTTCTGTTCCCCTCTCTGTCTCTGGTGAATCCTCTCACCCTCCACATCTCTGGCCTGTACCATATAAATAAATAAATAAATCTTAAAAAAAAAAAAGTCTAACACAGAATGAACATACAAGGACCTTGGCTGATAAGTGAGTGACTGTGTGGATGGGTGGGTCTCTGTAGATGCAAGACCCAGGAGCTGTTAGGACTATTGTAGAAGTCAGAGGTAGGGCTACCGCTGCTTGTAGCAGTTATACCTGGAGATGGGGCTCCCTCCTTCACAGCAAGGAGGTGAATAAAAGCCAGGGCCTCGTAGGGATGCACAAAGTGTCGAGAAAGCCCTGGCTTGACTGCTGTGCTACTCTGTGATCTTGAGCAAGTCCCAGACCCACTCTGAGCTTCAGTCCTTCCAGCTATCCGGCTATCAACATGGCTAACTTATTGGGTTATTTACTTGTGTGAAATCACCCAAACACTTGTATATCCAGTGTCTAGCAACTGGGCACGGCAAGGCCCTTTGCCTCCTGACTGGAGTCTGCAGGAGGTGACTCACCTCCTGTCTCATGGAGACCCCAGCTGTCCCCAGGAGTGGGCACCATCTGCTCTTACTTTTATTGATTTAAGCATACAGATAAGGGGAGTAGCGGGCGGGTCAGGAGAGGTCTACCAAGCCATGCGAATCACCTCCTGGACGGGGATCAAACGGTCACTGAAGAGGCTGCGGCTAGCTTGCAGTGCTGCGTCATAACCCGTTGTGCCACCAGGGAGGCCTGCTCTTACTTTCTCTGGGGTGGGTGTGAGTCTGGTAATGGCCACACCCATCGCCCGCCTTTGGCTCTCCTGGCACCTTGTGCTGGGCCTCTCTTCTGCCCCAGCCCCTCTTTCGCTCAAGTATACACCGTTCACAATCAGCCCTGTCTGCCGCCTGAGATGCCCCTCTCCTCCCCAGGGTTTAAGGGCGAGAAGGACCACTGGCGGAGCCGCCGCACCATCTGTGTGAAGACCCACGAGAGTGGCAGGAAGGAGATCGAGATGTTCGACTCCGCCATCCTGCTCATCCGGAACCCCTACAGATCCCTGGTGGCCGAGTTCAACAGGAAGTGCGCGGGACACCTGGGCTATGCAGCTGACCGCAACTGGAAGAGCAAAGGTGACTGAAGGGGCCGTTAGTGTGGGCAGGACACCCATTAGGGTGCAGGACCAGTACCCCTCATGGTGCTCCACCTCCCCAGGGCCTTACTGCTGGCTTCCCCCTGCCTCTTCCTCATGCCCTCCTGCAGTACAGGTCCACAGGCCATGGGGTTCTGCGTGGGTTTCCCAGACATGTTGCCACAGATCTTCTCCCCCACCACCACCTCCGCATAGAGGGTGAGGTGAACTGCACCCCTTTCCTACTCCTGCTTCTACCTAGGAGGGTAGGGCGTTGGGCACAGAAAGCCCTGAGTTTGCCCCTCCCCTGCCTCCGGAACCAGCCTCCATCTTTCTAAACCTCAAGGGAGCCGGGATCAATGAGATCATACATGAGATCACCCGATGAGATCAGTCCGTGCCAGCGCTCTCTGTCAGTCCCACTCCAAGCTGCCTCTCACTGACTCCTCACAGCGCACCGTAGGGGACCCCAGCAGCCCTGCTTTCTTGATGAGCCCAGGCATTTAGCTGTGCGGCCTGTCTCGCTGCCGAGGTAGTGCTATAACAAAATGTCAACATGCAGACATAACATGAGACGTTTCTCACATCTTTGGACTGGGCAGTCCGAGATCAAGGTGCCAGCCAGTGTGGTTCCGGTGGTTACTCTGCCTGGCTTGCAGACCGCTGCCATCTCGCTGTGGTTCACCTGGGCTCCCCTGGGGGCAGGTGCATGAGGAGATCAGAAACGAGCTTGCTGTGTCTCCTTTCAAGGGCACTTCCCCCATTCCAAGGACCCGAACCTCCTAACTCATGACCTCACCCACCTCAACTCCCTAGAACCACATTTCCAACTACAAAACGGGGGTTAAGACTTCAACATGTGAATATTTTTCGTCTCTAACACCTGAATTTTGATTCTGACTCACATTGGCTTGTTCCCCACTGCAGCTCCGTTTATGGAGTCAGTCTGCTGACAGGTGCTTCCTGGAGTCCTAGTGGGTGCCAAGCACTTGGTCAAGCCATGAAAGGTCCTGGCTAAAGGGGTCATGGTCTGCACTCAGGGCATACAGTTTAGGCCTTGGACAATGAATAGAAGGGATATAAGTCCAGGTAATGAATGATATTCAATGAACTCAGAAAACTGTCCAGCAGGGTGGGTGGCATGATGCCAGAGAACACACAGGCTTGTGCTTCTGTCCCTGCGTGACTCTGGGTCTGCTAAGGCTGATGAGGGTCTTTTCTGTCTCCAGTCACCCTCCTCTACACATGCCCCCAGGCACACAGCCACTCCCCCCCCCCTCCGGGACTCAGTCAGCTGAGCTTAGCCCCTCCTTCCCTGCCTGCCCAGCGGCCCTGAGAAAACTGTCCAGCAGGGTGGGTGGCATGATGCCAGAGAACACACAGGCTTGTGCTTCTGTCCCTGCGTGACTCTGGGTCTGCTAAGGCTGATGAGGGTCTTTTCTGTCTCCAGTCACCCTCCTCTACACATGCCCCCAGGCACACAGCCGCTCCCCCCCCCCTCCGGGACTCAGTCAGCTGAGCTTAGCCCCTCCTTCCCTGCCTGCCCAGCGGCCCTGAGCAGGCTGCACACCTGTCTACTGAGGCTCGGTTTTCTCATCTTAAGAACAGGGGTTCGGGGCGGTCGGTCCCTATCTCCTAGGGCCATTGTGTTGATTAGAAAAAGTGAACCCTCCCCCATGCATTTGAGGTGTCTCCAATAGTCCCATCATGGGAACCCTTTTTGTCGGGATGACTCTTGACATGTGCACTGTACCCCTCCAAAAACAACCTAAATTTTCTGGAAAAGAGATCTCAGAGTAGAAAATCCTGCAAACATTTGCAGTTGCCTGTATCCACGGCTTCGTCATCTGCCCTGCTGCCCAGCCGTGTCGCTGTGGCCAACACACCCACCAGACACCTTGAGCATTGGCTAAGCCAGTCACTGAGCTTTATGGGTGGAGCCGGTGCAGAGACTGGGCCTGCCCATCATGGCCAGAAGGCCGGGGAGCTGCCCACCCACTGCTCAGCCAGCACCCACACTTAGTGTACACAGTGGCTGGGCCCTCTGGTGGAGATTTCTGCCTTGGTTTCCCTCCTCTTTAACACCATGGAGTCCTGTAGACCTGAGACCTGGGGGCCCGCCCAGCTCTGCCCAGCCAGGTGCTGCCCCACAGGTGAAATGTGCCCAAAAGAGATGGCCCACTCCTGATGCCCATTTGTCTTAAGTCGAGTGTTTCCAAGGAAACAGCTAGGGACCGCAGACAAGGGTCACATCTCCCGGTGGGGAGCGTAACCTGATACTAACCCTTGGCTCACCCTGGGTCACCAAGAAGGTGCATCCACCCAAGGGATCAGGGCTGGATGGCCGCGTGTGGGTGGCGGCAATACCCAGGGCTCCTCTCTGCCGAGCGGGGCAGGCCTGACGCTTGCTCCTGTCCCCTCCCCAGAGTGGCCGGACTTCGTCAACAGCTACGCGTCCTGGTGGTCCTCGCACGTGCTGGACTGGCTCAAGTACGGGAAGCGGCTGCTGGTGGTGCACTACGAGGAGCTGCGGCACAGCCTGGTGCCCACGCTGCGGGAGATGGCCGCCTTCCTCAACGTCTCCGTGAGCGAGGAGCGGCTGCTGTGCGTGGAGAACAACAAGGAGGGCAGCTTCCGGCGGCGCGGCCGGCACCCGCGCGGCCCCGAGCCCTTCACCCCGGAGATGAAGGACTTGATCAATGGCTACATCCGGACAGTGGACAAGGCCCTGCGTGACCACAACGGGGCCGGGCTGCCCAGGGAGTACGTGCCCAGATGATAGGCCCCGGCCGTCTGCCCGCCCACTGAGAGCAGGGCGCCCCACCGGGCGGTGCCCACACTCAGGCGGAGCTGGCGGCCACACCTGGGCTGGACACGGGGCTCGTGTGGCCAACAGGGAGGCCTGCTAGGGGCCGCCTCCCTCCTCACTCCCGGGAGACCCAGACACCAGCCATCGGTCCACCCGGGCCACACAGGACAGACTACCACGAGCGCCCACAGACGCTCACGCCCAGGCCGGCAGAGGCCATCGCACGTGGACGCGGGCACGCAATGCCTGGTGGGTGCCCCGCCTGGCGCTCACAGGCGCGCGCGCACCCCGGGCCCACGGAAGCCTGCTTTCCTGTCTGCAGCCGCTACCGCTTGCTTGTGAGGTCCTTGACTGCAGAGAATGGGCTGGGCGGCTTCGGCACTGTGAGGGGCAGGATGGCAGTGTGGGAGGGCTCACTGTCGCTGCTGCTGGGCCCTGCAGCCCAGTCAGGTGTCTTGACACGTCATAAACACCTGTGGTGTGAACACCGGCACCACTCACTGCAGCCCTGGCCCACTTCTTTGCTGATAGACTGATGGCACTGAGGGTACCGTGTCCCCCATGAACATACCACCCTCAGGACCTGCCACAGTTCTGTGAACCCCTGGTTACTCTTTCCAACACGTGTGCTCCTTGGAGTGGGGCTCCCTCGCCTGGCTTCTTCTGTCCCCAGGGAAGATGGGGATTCGCAACATGCCCCAGATCAGGGTGTGGGGGACAGAAGACAGGGTGCCTGAGACCTGAGGGGTACATATGCCAGCAGGAGTGGGCTTGGGGAGGGTGTGGAGGGCCCAGGAGGAATGGGGCTTGGGGATCGCTGTGGCTCCTTACACCACCCATATCTACAGGACCTTGTTCCCTGTGGGTCCTGCTCTGGGGTCATGAGGAAGGGGTACTGCATGGCCCATTAATGTGGCCCTTGAAAGAGAGACTGTGGCCTGGGCTTCTGCCTGCTTCCCTGCCATTAAAGCTCCTCTGTCCCCTTACCACCCCCTCCACCACTTCCTGACCCAGAGTCCTCACCGGAGTCCCCGCTATTTCTGCAAGGCCGACATCTTCCCCACTGTTCACCCATTTCCTCAGTTACAGAAGGGCCTTCCCAGAGGCCCTGCCTGCAGTGCGCAGGCTGTGAGGAGAAGACAGATGGGGAAGACCCCTCTCCCCACTCTCCACCCCTAGCTCACAGTTCTAGGGGTTGCACCAGTGCTGGGTGGCTTCACAGGGGGTCACCCCTATGGCCCGGGAAATGGAGAAGTTATAGGAACTACAGCAAAGGCAGGGAGAATTCAGAGTTGGTGACGGGGAGTTCCGGGGGGGAGGGGGGAGTGGGGAGTGCTGGGAGGTGGATGACAATTGAGGCAGAGAGAACAAAGGCTCAGAGGCTCAGGAAACCCTGAAGTGTTTTTGCAGAAGAAGAAGATGGGGCACACGTCTCTGAGTCTACAGCAGGGAGATGGGCCAGGACACAGAAGGGAGCTCTGTGTGTCCTCACAGTCACTTAGTGATTAGGCGGCCTGGGGGGCAGAGGTGCTGGTCCTGATGACCTCAGATCTACCTTCCCTGCCTGCCTTAGGCTCAGAAGTGAAACTGAGACCAGGGGCTCAGATCTAGAAGTGGCAGCGGCTCCAGGAGCACAGCCCGGGATGATCAAGATGTAGGGAGGGTGTCAAGCACTCAGTTGCCCCATGACCCTTCCCAGGGGAAGAAGGTAATGGGCCTGGACGTGGCCCCTCTGGGCCGCTCGGCAGTGCTGCATGTCTGGGTGACCCAGCTGTGTCCCAGGCTCCAGCCAAGCTTCTTCAAAAGGAGAAAACAGGATGAGAGAGTTGGGAAAACAGCAGGGGGATCCTTGACCCCTTGCTCCCTGGCCAGCTATGGGGAGCCGATCGCCACCCCAGTGAGGACAGACAGGGCTTGGAGCCCAGCAGAAATGCCCTTCCTCAGAGAGACGCCTCCTCCGCCTTCAGTTTTCACAATGAGTGGACTTGAGCACCTGTAGTCCTGGCCAACTCCACGTCCTTCCTAAGTTCCCCCAGAACCCCCATTACGGTCAGTGCTGTATCGGATCCTCCCGCGGCATCGCTTGGCTCAGCTCAAAGCCAGATAACTCCAGGTTCTTTGTCAACATTTATTGGTGCAGCATGACTCCGAGGTCAAGGCCATTTCTCCTGAGCTGCAGTCGGAATCTAGACCCATGAGATGCTTCCACACTGCCATGGAAGGGGGTACAGGGGGTACCGGCATCCCAGAGCAAAGCTGTAGTTGAAGGAGATGACAGTGTGAGTGATGGGGATCAGGAAGCTGAAACTGGAGATGACTCCCCATCTTTGGTCCTCAGTCTCTGACTGCCCAGTCAACCCTTGGGGAGAAGGCACAGAGGCACACAGGCTGGGGAGGGTGGAGGTGTGACTGGAGAACTGACTGGGCCTGAAGCTGGGGTACCATCCCTTAGGGTCCCCCACCACCACCACCCTCAGTGTCAGGAAAGCAACACACCAGGGCTCCTGGCAGCTGGGTGGGGACACTCACCACTGCAGTACCTGGCGCCCTCTTCTCCCAGGTGCAGTGTCACCTGCTCTATGTCCTTCCACTTCACTGTGCATGTAGCAGGCATGCCGGTGAGTGGAGCGACAGGGTCAAGTCACCTAGAGGCCACACTGAGTTAGTCTACACAGTCAGGCACCTGGGGCTTGGCAGGAGCTTATAGATGTGGGGCCAACGAGGAGAGGTGAAGGCCCAGGGCTGTGACTGCTCTCGCCGACATCTCCCCAGGGCTTCTAGTCTCTTTGGGAGATCTCAGAAGCAGAGGGGAGGCTCTGTCTGTCCTTTGGGGAGCGTTCATTTTTCCTTCCCCCAACGAGGTCTCATCTAGAGCTCTCAGCTTCTTCTTAAAGGTGAGACTGCTCCAAGGATCCAGGGAGTCAAGCTGTGGGTGGGGAGAAGCATGGCCAACGCTCAGGAACTAATCAAAACAGAACAGCAAGACTTTGACTGTCTACAGATTCCAACTTTGCTAGCAAGGCTGCAGGGTTACACAAACCCGTGTTTGAGCATGTAATTTTCATGGATTTTATCTCCTGTTGTGGATCAATTTGGAAAAGCCAAAATATATAATTTAAAAAAACTAAAACACACGATGATAATGTCAGCAATGTGTAAATGAGGGAGAAGAATAGACAGGCTTCCGAACCCTGGGAAGAAAGCCGCTTAATGATGTGAACATCTTATGAAGTCTCTTGCAGCTAAAATTAGATTTTGAGTGCATGAATATGCAATAATGTTTGCACACCAGAATGCATTTTTCCCTTAAAAGTGACAAGAGTCACTTGGTTCTTGGGTGCCCAAGAGGGGAGATGGAAGAGCTGTGCTTGAACCTTGTGCTGCAAGAATTCATGGAGCATAGGTTTGTTTTCTTCTGATTGGGAACTCATTGGAAGTGTTTGAAATGTGAGGCCATTCCTATATGGGGAGAAATTATTCTAAACCCACACTGAATACCTCTCCATATTGGATGAGCTCACCCGAACAAGGCAGAAGTAGAATAGTCTACTGATGAAGTACTTCATAATGGTCCCCAGCTCTGGTCTACTATGACCTTGAACAAAGCCTTTGCTCTCTCTGACTTCAGCTTTTATCCACACTAGCAAGGACATAGTGGGGATGATGTTGATTTCGTCCCCAATGTTCAATCCCACATTTCCTGTCCCACCAGACCTCGATTTCTTGTTTGGGCGTTTCATGATGTGGCAGAGCTGATTCTAACACTTCCAGGAGTGAACACATGATCTGGATTCAGCCAACAGCACATTCAATCTCCGGCCACAGTGACTAGTTCAGATGTGGTGATGTGAGCTAAGCTGGAGGCCATTTCAAGAGTCTTTCTGGAAATGTTTTGTCCACCCGCTTCATAGCAAAGTGGAAGTAGGCTGTTCAGGGTCGGGGTGGTCTTCTTGGAGATGGAGATGAGGACCACTCTCAGCATGAAGCCAACCCTCCTGAAAGGAGTATGAAGATACCAGGAGTATGAAGATACCAGGAGTATGAAGATACCAGGTCCTTGTGACATTGGCAGGACCAATGCCTGCGACTGGCCCTATCTCTGGACACTTTTGCTACATGAGCCAATAAATTCCCTTTATTGCCAAAAGTGGGTTGAGTTGAGTTTTTGTTTCTCACGGTCCAGAGCAGCATATGAAGAGCTGGGACTGAAGGAGCCTGGGGCTCTGACATTCTTTCTCTCTAATATAGAAAAAGACCAAAATTCAGATCAATATAAGCTGGTAGGATCGGGAAGTTGCTTTTTAAAGGAATGGGGCTGGGTGTGAAATGCTTAATAGGATGTTGTGCTCAGCCAGCCAGAACTAGTAGCATTTTTAAGTCAGTACATGGTGAGGTCACACATTTATCCTCAGGAAATAATTCCTCTTGATGGCCCAGCCTGAGCTGTCAATCGCCCATTTAATCCTTCACATCCGCTTTGTTTTTTTTTTCTCCTTGACAAATGAGAGACCTGGGATTCCACTCATTTGTGTAATGACTGCGAATATGGCCAGATCCTGTTTACTACAACCCCTTCCACAGAGAGTAGGCTGTGGTGTGGGAGGAATGCTCTGTAAACTATTCAGACAGGGAACGAGACCTCCTTCACCAGACATGTGTAACGGCTGACAGCAAGCTGCCTTGCGAGGGGCGTAGGTGTGGCTGATCACACAGCTTCACCTCTGCTGAGTGAACACGAAAGTTTGGGACAAAGCAGAATTGCTACCATTGGAGGAGAGCTGGGGTGATGGCACTGCGAGCTCCCCTCCTCTGAGCTCCCCCCTCTAATCCATGGTGTGTTAGAAAGTGGAGGGACACAGGAGATTTAGGTGGCCTCCACCACCACCAGACTCCTTGGCTGTCTGCCCAGGCTGCAGTGCGCCAGGAAGGAGGTCTGTGTGGAGAAAGCCACGGATTCCAAAAACTGAGGTGAGTACAGTGGTCCACAGAGCTCCCTTTTGTGATGGTAGACAGTTCCCTCCCTGGGAACTTCTGTGCAAAAGCATTGCAGAAACTGGGGTCCCGGCCATGGGAAGTAGAAGCAGATCTGCCCTAACTAACAAGGACTTACCTATTATGAAGGATCTTGATCTGAAAAAAAGTAGAAGTAATTGCAGTTGACTGTCAGGTGAGCATGAGCTAAATGAGTTTGTTTGCAGAAGTGTCCTCCTTTCTTGAGACGTTCTTTTCTGGGTCCAGCATCAGCAGCACCAGACCACAGCTCGTGGTGAGGTAGTTGGAGATTAATGGTAATAATAATGTGTTCTCACATATCACAGGTTTCCATAGACATCACCCCACAGGAGCCCCTGGGAGGTGGTCACTATGTACTATGTTTCTTTTTTGGGGTTGGGGGTGGTGAGGAAGAGAAATCTAATTTCTGAGATTGAGTTGCCAAAAGTTCAGACCCTTTATTTTACAAAGGAGAAAAATGAAAGTGGAGATGGGGATGGGTCCCCAAGAATGTCATGTGGTGACAATGTGAGTGATCATGGATGTGGAGTGAGGGCCAGCACGTGGGAGCTTTCCACTAAACCACCTGATTGCCCTGCACTGCATCCCTATAACTCTTCGAAGAGTTGCTGGAAATGAGGCAAGTGTGCACATTCAGTTCATTTGGAAGTGACCCCATAAATTTCACTGCTAATTCTTTGCCAGAATGCTTTTTGGTGGGCACCTGAGTTCAGTGTTAAGGGCCATTTATCAAACATCCCCAATACTTGAAAACCTGCTCAGAGGAAGCAGGTCTTTCCAAAGGTATGAGTTAGAGAGGTGGCCGTAACTTGCCATAGATAGAAGCCCAGTGTTTTCCTCATAAGTCACAGGCATCCCAGGCAGCAGAAAGGCTCCATTTCTCTAAAATACTAAAGCCAAGCACTTTGGTG